ATAATAATATATTTTTTTTTTTCGGTACGTCATACAGTCTTTTACATTCTCACATATTTTGTACAGAAATTTGTAATGGCGCCCACTCAGGACGGACAAAATTAGGTGTCACGATCACACTATGGTCTGTCATCTTTTGGAGGGGGTGCTTCGTAAATAAGATCGTTTAGATGGTAAAAATTTGGTGCATCTTTACAATTCACTTTGTGATTCCAATCACATACTCTGTATTGTTGATTAAACATAGTGTCATTGGGGCATATATGAGGTACTCTTCGGCCGTATGCGTCACACATGTGGAATATTTTGCATTCGAATTCCAAATCTGCGTAAAATCCAATAGGACGATTGCTACAATCAAACGTGAATTCCACGTCAGGAAATTCTTCCCATCGTTTAGACTGAAAGCGAAAAAAAAATAAATAAAAAAAATATTCTTTATTTTGTATTATATAAACAATTGTTTTAATTGTTTAAGTTCAATTTTGTATTGTTTATTTACTATTTTTAAATTAAAAATACTCACTCTCAATAAGGCTTTCCCCCAGACCAGAGTTAAAACTGAAATATTAATTTGTTAGTTATTTTATTTTATTTATTTTTTTATTGTGTTCTTTAATTAATTTATTGTTAAATTACCTGCGCAACATATACAACTGATCGCCAAGTTTCTCCACATTTTTCAAATAATTTTTCTGTAAGGAAAATAAACGGTTAGTGACGTCGACCTATGCTCGCATACCTAACCTAATTTGTAACCGGTAATTCCAATATGGGTCAAACATTATCGAAAAGGTATTCGTTTCTAATTCGATTGGACCGTTCGAAATTCAAAAATTTGAAAAATCGAATAACGGTCTTTCTCTATGACGAAACACAATGTCGTTTTCAATCGTCAACAATTGAATTAACCGTCGTTGTCTCGTACTTGTTTTTTTTTTTCGATTTTTATATAATTTACTTTCTGTTTTAGGTCTGATTTTTTTTAAATTTTAAATAATTACTTACTTACTTCTTTAATTATTTTTTTTAGGTGTTACTTTGTATTGTCTGTCATTAAATCTTAACGACATCTATTGATAAGAAATTGAATTATCTAGAATTGTAGGGAGNAGTAAATTGTAATATAATCAAATATTTCACCGTATTTTCGATAAGTTAATCATTGAAAACATGTTCTAGTTAATTATTTTATGCTTTTATCCTATAATACTAGAATATATTTTAAATTAGAAGTGACAGTGATTAAAATTTTATCAATTTTTTTTTTTTGTATTTTTGCCATTTAATGCTATATACAAATGCCATTTACAAATTGAAAGCGGCTAGATAATAAGACGAAGAAGGAATTTATTCGCGAGGACACATGACAGAAATTGCATGTTTTAATGACACTTAGTGTTTATAACAGGTTTCTTTTCGACACGCTGTCATTTATCAACAGTACATATATATATATATATATAATATTAATAAGAAAATAATAATTATGAATTTTAAATCAAGTAAAAAAAAATAAAAATAATTTTCTACTAGTAATAATAATAATAGTAATAGCCTAAAAGTAACAAGTTTTTCGAAAGAGGGGGGGGAAATGGAGCGGTTTTATTTACTGTCGAGTCGTCGAACTTACGTGTAGAACCGTCACGTTTATCACGTACGTCACGACCTGACATATCAAAAGAGTGAAGCCAAAAACTAGTCAGAAAATTCCCGTCAGTGAGTAAAATTTATTAGGATTTAATAGCCGAATACTTCGATAAGACACCCGAAATTATTTCAAAATTAATTGCGAAGATGATCCTCTTTGCTATGTAAAATTCTCCTTTTACAGTGTTTTTCTATTTTTTCCTGGTGTTCTCGGATTACCGTATGCTTTTAAAATACCTAAATACCTGTTTTATATATTAATATGTCATAATTTATATTTAAAATTTAAAAAGAAAATGGCGGATGTGACTGCTTTATCCATTACGACGATATAAATAAAAATTTTTTTTTAATTGGATAATGTAAAGTTTGGTAATTAATTAATAAGAAAATATAAATTTATAATTATTTTAAGTGAATTAAACGAACGAAATTTCTAAAAATAGCATAATTCAATCCATTACATGTAATTAAAAATAGCGTAAATATGGCACGAATTTTGGAAGAAGCGTGATCGTTTACATTAACTTATGTAGATTTTTTTTTTAAATTGCCAGTGAACCATCTACGTAACGTTTGATTGTAGGATCAATATTATTTTTATCGTCATACGAAAGACATTAATGCGGAATATCTCTCCCCCCCCCTATCAAAACTGACTATCCCATAGGCTCCAATATAGGAAAGTTTAATGTCAAAGATCAACCTATGTCCTCAATTCCATACACGGAATAATAATCCTGCTGTCGTTGATGACCTTGCTGTCTTGACCTCATCAAGCATTCCAGAAGAAAAAGTTGCACTGGAATCTGGAAACACTTATTGATCTCAGTCTAATTATACTAGGAATGCGCTCTGGGGTGTCAAGTACCAGTTTGAGGTTTATTGGTAAACAAATTAATTAAACTCTTTGGTTTTTCTTATCAATAATACCTCAGTAATGCAATTAATAGAGGTTTTCACTTGAAGAACCTTATTGAGATTGATATCGTTAATGTCCGTTTTCTTCTACCAAGAGATAATAGATTAAAGAACCAATTATGAAAATCCTTTCTTTTATTTTCTTAAGCATGAATCGACCTTCAGATTTTTAATTATATTCATAAATGAACTGAAAATCATAAATTAATTGTGTTATTTTAACGTGATCGTCCAATCAGGATCGAGAAGACAAAAATCATGTCAATGCCGCCACTAACACGAGGTCACTGGGTTCATAGGTCAATAAGTCAGTTTTTTTTTTACTTTAGATAAATTATAGCCACCCTTAATGTCCACTTTAGGAATTACTAATTTAAATATTACAATAAATAATCTTGTATTTTTCAAAATAGATTCGACTAAAAATATAAAAAAATATATATATTTCAATATATTTATGTAAATATGAAAATTATTTCTTTTAAAGTATTGGACTTTTGCCATCAATTTAAAAGAGATTTCACTTCACTAACGAATCCATATATCTTTTTTTTTTATATTTAACAGCATATTTCCTCGAATTTCTCTACTATTTATGGAATATTTTTAGTGTGATTTCAGTCTACAGAATTTATGGAGCATTATAATGCCTTTGGTGAATATTGTTAAGGCAGTAGACTGGAGATAGATTATTGACATTTTTTTTTTTGGCTCGCTGATTGAATTTTGATTTTCGAAAGAGTCTTTTAACTTCGAAATTTATATCATAACTTTATATATTAAATTTAATATTTATTATTTATTGAAATGATTTAATATTTTATCTGAATTTTTCTGGTTTTCTTAAAGATACATTGAGGTGTTGTATGAACAGGGCCTCTCAGAGGAATATAAGGATTGGTGCAAGATATATATTGAGGACACTACAACAAATTAAGTTGTTATATTAAAGATGTAAGCGAAAAAAAACATTGTATAGAATCCATACAATCTTGGGTTCCTTTAATCTTCAACTCTGGAAATTCACTGTGCTCAATTATGTCTTTTAGAATATTTTACATGGATTTTTGATCAACGTAGAGAAACAGACTAATATTAGTATTTATAAGAGTGCTCGTTGAATAATCTTCAATAATAATCCTGTAAATGTTAAGTGTAATTAATAATCTCTTACCGTAATTATCATTAAAACAATTTATTTGAAAATATTGTAAGCCAAATATACTTTTAAGTATTGTAACTTGGCAGTTTTTCCTTCATAATTCTTAAGAATTTTGCCAGTTTACTTAATAAAATGAATGTTTACAACTTTCAATTTTTTTTTTTTTTTTTTTGCCAAG